CCTCTTTTTCTTTTAGCTTCGGCGCTTCCAAGCATAATGTTCTTATGTAATAAATTGGTCCAGAATAAGAGCTTCAGTTTGGTAATCTGGGCCTCGAGTAAGAGGTGAGGCTTGGTTTGTTTGAGGAACCACTCACTTAGATTTTTTAGCTGTTCAAGGTTCTCTCAAAAGTCTTCACCAACACCAAAGTTCAAAGGAATCTATATTTTTCCAGTCTCACTATTGTCCAGCTTTCACATTCATAGAGAACCAAGCTTGGGTTATTCTAATCTTTGTAGAGACAAATTGTTGTGTTTGAAGATCTCAAGCATTTTCATCTTTGCTGAGTTCCACTCTGTAGTACTGTTGTATTTGTTGCTGGATCCTCTGTTGTTGGTCAGAGAAGGTAAAAGCTGTCCACTCTTTCCACATCTTCTCCATCAGTGATAAAGTTAGCAATCTGTGCTGTCATCATAACCTCAGTCTTATTCATATTGAGAAGAGCTGAAGTCCCATCTTTTCACTCTGTTCTTTAACCTTCCTTATAAGGGCCGTCAGGTCTTCCAGATTTTCCACAAACAACAAATAGTGGTATAATGCAGTCTTGTCTAACTTCTTTGCCCATGTAGAGCCAGGCTGTCCATTTTCTATCCATTCAAAGACTTTACTGTAGTCAGTAAAAGTCATGTTGACTTCCTTCTTGTACTCCTAGGCTTTTTCAGTGATGCAGTGCACATCTGTTGTAATATCTCTTATTCCTCTGCTTTTTCAGAATCTTACTTGCACATCTTGCAGTTGTTTTGGCTCTGGCTCTAGTCTTACTGACGTATGATATTAGGGCGGTAGTATCGGAGTAAAGCTGAAAACAAACGTGAAAAATACAAAGTTGTCACACTTCCGGGTTCACTCTGTCCCTAATGACTCTCTGGACTTCACTTCCCACAATCCCTTTGACCAACAGGCCATCGTCACATGCACTCCATCACTTAATCCCGACAGTTTCCTAGAAGCCCCTCACCTGAGTTTTGGTTTCTTTCGCCTATGTTTGCTTATATACCCCTTTGTCATGTATGTTGCCAAGTATTGCCATCGTTTTTCGTGAGCACACAGAGCGCTCTCTTGTATTTGTCTTTACCGTGTTTAACCTGCTTTGAGTTGTTTGTTTTTTCTTTTGCCTTGCCCTTCTGTTTTAGTCTAGTTGATTCGTATCTGCCTATTTCACTCTCGGTTTTGGCTTGGCCCGACTTGAGTAATTTGCTTTTAAACTACCCTTCAATATTAAAGCCTTTTCTCTATTTTGCATCTGTGAGCGTCTGTTTTGTCAAAGCTACAAGTTACTGCGGTTTTGGAAGTTTTGCCTTTGCTGGTAATTCTTTCTTGGTAATTAGTTTTTACAGGAACTTACTGTAAATTATGCAAGAAACTGTTAAGAATGGACATCAGCTCACAAAATCCATGGCAACATATAATAACACCGTAATTTAAGAAAACAGTATGTTTTTTTATATTTACTCTACAATTAAATTATTTATTTGCAGTTCAAGGTGGCATCAAGTTCATGGTTAACTTACTGATAATGTTTCATTTTATGGCTACTTACATAAGGATTTCATAACATGCAGTTATAACACTGTTATGAAGCATCATTCTGAAGTGAAGCTTATACAAGGCTATGCAGGGACGTAGATAAGAAGACTGTATTCATTCTATGTATTTATAAGTACAAAAGTACAGTTTCTATTAAGATGTTACAAAAGAAAGAAATGTCTCTCAGCATTCTGTCAACCCTGTAAAACACCAGGCTTACTACATTTACTTCATAAAACATCTGTTCATAAATACTTAAGTATTGCTTTACAAAAACATAATTCAAAACTCATTCATACGTTACAAAGTCCTTAGGAAGCCTTAAGTAAAGTGTTACCAAACTGATTTTTGACTGAAATGTTATTAAGTAACTGAAAATTTTATAAAGAGAAGGTTGACATGTTAAGCATCACCACATCCAGCAACAACCACAACATGAAGAAGATGAGGAAATATAATGTAGATGACTGATATCAAATGTCAGGTGTCTTAGTAGCAACCCCAATATGATGAAATGGACAGCAAAGTGGACACACACAAAATGTTCAATATTATGATGAAAATTGTTTAACAGATCTAAATTGTGAAATACAGTGTTTATGACTGGAGGAAAAAGATGGAGGATGGCCAGTTTTTTTGTTATTTGGTTACCTATTACATTGGGGATCAGGCAGCACCAAGGACATAATCCTCTACATACAATGAAAGAAAAATGTGTAAAGTGCTTCTTAAAGCAAATGCCATTATGCCAATAAATTCATGAAGATTTACGCAATCAGAATAGCACTTAAGAATTCCATGGTTTTCAGTATTTTAATGAAACGGCTGATTATACCAGGGACATGAAAAGGCACCTTATACTGATAATGATCCATATGACACCTTATAATGACCCATGTGAAATATCTATGTGTATTAGAGAGAAACTATCTGTGCGGCCAAGGAGTGCTCAAGGCTCCTCTACAGCATAATAGAAACAGAACGCAGTGTTTATTCTTAAAACAAACTTGTTTTCTTTCAAGACAAAACAGGGGGCAGGTTATGGTGTAACTTTAAACCTGTTCTGTGCTCTTGTTTAATACCGTCCCTTTTCATGTTAGCCACCTGTCCAGTAATATTTCAGCCAACATCAGTTTAGCCCACTCTCAGAATGACAACTGTCAAACACCACCCAAAAGCTACTTAGCCTGCTACTTAAAGGATTAGATCACCAATTTGGCGAGTAAACTCCTCGCATGAGTTCATTATCTGGGTTTCAGTGGCAAGATCAGTGGATTTCTGTTCCTTTTGTAAAAAAAATCCGATCTGAATGTCTTTCATTTCCATGAAATTGTCACTGTGGCCACTGGGCTGTATTTTTCCACACTTGGATTTGCATTTACACTTTTTCCCTCTGAACAGCAGGCGCCAAAAGCCCAGCTGTGACAACAGGTCTACAATAATCAAATTACAGCTTATCATGACAAATGCAATCTCTGTGTTTTTGTTGCCAGCCCATGTTCATCAGTTAGCTTTCATCCGTTCATCAGTAGGTTGGCCCCTTGTCATGACTGTGAACGGGAAGTCTGTGGCCAAGAAAATCCTCATCCTAGCCTCTACAGGAAATGCCTTCAGTATGCCAGAACTAGGGGTGGAAGTTATGATACACAATGTGTATTATATATTTAGTTATATGCATTACTTTCATACATTTAGTTTCTGTATTTGTGATACGACATTTAAAAAAGCTTAAAAAACAGTAGAAGTACAGTAATTCTTCTGGTAACACCTAATAACAAAAGGCCCCATAATCATTATCTAATAGTTTGTCGATGATGGTTAGTAACTATATAATTGTTAACTTATACATTAATAAACACCACCATTTAAATGATTAACCCTTTACTTAGGGGCATTGTTAATTATTGTTTGTTAACCCCTTAAACAGCCAGAGCCCATTGACAGGCCCAAAGCTTTAGTACACACTGCTCTACCCTAAGAATAGCTCAACCAGTTTGCACTGAAGTCCCTGCAGTTACTGAATAATAAGGCTTAGTGTGTATTAAGCCTGGGATTTAAAGGGTTAATGATACTTTAGTTATTTGATCAGAGCTGGTACGTCAGAATGCCTGTCTAAGTGTTTTTGCAGGAGAGGGAAAAACATACTTAACTTTTCATGTAAGTCAAAGGAACCAGACTGTTTTCCAAGTTATTTTAAACCGTTTCTCTTGGTCCATTCATCATAAACTTCACCCGTACTGTAAAAGGACAACAGGTACTTTAAAATTATATCAAAAACTGGAAAATGAAAAAAATCTAAAGTGTGTGTGTGTGTGTATATATACATACATATATATATATATATATACACACACACAATTTTCTTAGTATATCATAGATACAGTAAGTACTTCTAGATATATATATATACATAGTTGTTAATTGCTCTAGAAGTACTTACTGTACCTATGATATACTAAAAAAAAATTTTGTATTTAATAATCACAATAATGACAGAATATCGTCATATTGAGTAATTGAGCTGTAGACCGAAGGTTTTGCCTCAGACAAAGCTCATAAGTGCAATGAACAGTGCACACAGTTTTAGCCTGAAGGGAAGTCTTCAGAAACCGCTTGCTTGAGGATTTCAGAAATGGAGACCATATGTAGTCATGTTGTAGTTTACAAGCTCCACAGTGCTGAACTTTTTTCCTTTTTTTCTAATTATAAGTAGAAAGGCTCAATCAACATCTTCGCAGACACTGTTTTTGTAACACAGCTTTGCTCGAATTAGCATGTTTGCATCCACTGTGTAAAAAAAAGGCTCAGCTGCAAGTATTTCTATAAACAAATGCTTCTGTTTTTATTATTAGTATTGCATATGAGAATATATGCTTTCAGTAGCAGTTCTGTTTCTCCACTGCTGAGAAGAGGAAGCTAGGTGTCCCTGCACACCCTCTTCTATTATTTTAAACTGAGTAGCTCTGACACGTCTTTCAACTGCACGCAAAAGGAGGAAAAAAAGCACACCGATGATTTCATCTGACTCTGGATGAGCACGAAAAAGAGTTTAATTGCCAAAATGTTGAACGACCCGTATAAAGAGCTTGGCAACTTCACAGAGATTACAGGTTCACATTAGGTGAACAGTGGAGTGCTCAAAGACAATTGACAGTTTAGCTTAGCAACCATGAGAGACAGCTTAACAGAGACAGGCAGTTACCCGTTATTATTATCCACTGAACACTGTCCTAAGACCTGGGAGAAGCGCCTGCGAACTTTTAGCATCACTAATAAATGTGAAAAGGCATTTTAGGCCACCGTGTTTGTCTGCGAAGGATAATCTCCTCCGAAGATTAATCCCTCTTTGAAATTCAGGGCACGTCAGCCGAGCAGGTGAAAAGGTCCATTGACTGTGTGCTGATAGCTGTTTGTGTGTGCTGTTCTGTCTGTAGACTCCTTCTATGATGTGATCACAGTCGGAGCCCCAGCTGCCCACTTTCAGGGCTTCAAGAACGGAGGCCTCCAGAAACTCCTCAGCAGATACGAGGCAGAGAAGAAGAGGTGAGTCTCTCTCTCTTTGGAGGCCATGACCCCCCGACCCAATACACACCAACATTCCAACATTCTCTTTGTCTAAACTGATGAACTAAATGAACCTGAGGAATTAATTTGACAAAATAAATTTTAGAGAAAATTCTAGAACCGCACAAATGAGGGAGAACATTCCATGACATTGTGAATTGAGACAACATTCTCAAACAGTATGAATATTCTATAACATTGTGAATAGGGAAAACATTCTAGAATGTCAGAAAACATGCCAAAGTACCACAAGTGAGGGAGAACCTTCAAGAACAGTATAAACAGGGGGCATTCTAGAATGGTGTAAATATTCTAGAAGGGTGTGAATTTGGAAAATTTAAATAATAATGTGAACATTCAAGAGGAGAGTAAATGAAGGAGAACATTCTAGAATGGGGAGAATATTCTCAAACAGTGTGATCATTTTATAACATTGTGAATGGGGTGAACATTCTAGAATAGTGTGAACATTCAAGAGGAGTGTACATGGATCATAACATTTTGATTGAGAGAGAACATTCTAGAGCAATGGGAATGAGGTACATTGTAGAACAGTGTGGAGTGTTTGGGAACAGTGTGAATGGGGGAGAAAAATGGGGGAAGATCACTGTAGATTATTGTGCATGGGGAGAATACCCTGGAACATTGTGAAAAGCGAGAACATTCTAGAACAGTGTAAACAGGGGGCATTCTAGACCTGTGTAAATATTCCAGTAAATATTCTAGTTCCTGAAACACCACAACTGAGGGAGAACATTCTAAAACAATGAATGGGGGGAGAACATTCCAGATTATTGTGAATGGGGAGAACATTCTCAAACAGTATGAACAATCTATAACATTGTGAATGGGGAGAACATTCTGTAACACTGTGGATGGGAAGAACATTCTAGAGCAGCATGAATGGTGGGGGCATTCCAGAATGGTGTAAATGTTCTAGAAGAGTGTGAATTGGGAGAACTTTCAAGAATAATAAAATAAGAGGAGAGTAAATGAAGGAGAACGTTCTAAAACACCACAACTGAGGGAGAAAATTCTAGAGCAATGAATGGGTGAAGAACGTTCTAGATTACTGTGAATGGGGAGAATATCCTAAAACATTGTGAATGGGGAGAACATTCTAGAACAGTGTGAATGGGGAGAACATTCTCAAGCAGTGTGACATTATATAACATTATGAATTGATAGAATATTTCATAGTATTGTGAATGGGGAGAACATTCTAGAACAGTGTGAATGAGGGAACATTCTAGAACAGTGTAAACATTCTAAAGGAGTGTCAATGGGGAGAACATTCAAGAATAGTATGAACATTCATGAGGAATATAAAAAGAAGAGAACATTCTTAAATAGCACAAATGATGGAGAACATTCTAGAACAATGTAAATGGTGAGAGAACATTGTAGAAGAGTGTGGACATTCAGGAACAGCATATGAGGGACATTTTCTAGAGCTGTGTAAATGAGGAAAACATTCTAGAATAGTGTGAACATTCAAGAGGAGTATAAATGGACCAGAACATTTTAGAACAGCATGAATAATGGAGAACATTCTAGACCAACAGTGTTCTACGTCATTCATCCTGAGGGAGAATATTCTAGAGCTGTGGAGAATGCGGAGGACATTCTAAAACGGGGGAGAATATTCTAGAACAATAAATGGGGGAAGAATATTCCAGGTAATTGTGAATGTGGAGAATATTCTAGAACGGTGTGAACGGGTGAACTTTCTAGAAAAGAGTAAACATTCTGGATGGGGTGTAAATGAGGAGAGCTTTTAATAACAGTGTGAATTTTCAAGAAGAGTGTAAATGGAAAACATTTTAGAACCTGCATGAGGGAGAACATTCTAGAACAGTCTGAATGAGTTAGAACTAGATAGAACAGTGTAAATGTTTAGAAACAATGTGGAAAAAGTTCCCCTCATGCCCCTCAGCCAGGAAACAGGATCAGAAAACAAACTAACTGATCTACTCAAGAACATACCATGTTCAGGTTTATGTTTTTACCATTTTCCAGCTTTCTAAAGCTGATACAACTGTTAATAATAATAATAAGCTTTATTAACATAGCACTTTTTCAAGCGGTTTCACAAAATACTTTACAAAAGACAAATATACATAATTACAAGACAAAAAGAAATAAGAAAAAACATTAGAATGTAAATGCAAACAATAAAAGCAGTAAAACAAAAAGAACAAAATGGAAACATTTTAAAAGTGTGAGTGCTGAAATGAATAAAATGTTAATTAAAAGCTAATCTAAACAAAAAGGTCTTTCTCTTAAATATGCCAAAATCTTTCAGAGGTCTCAGGTCATCAGTAAGGGAGTTCCAAACATTAGGGGCATAATGGGAGAATAACATTTAAAAAAAATCTATTTTGTTAATCCCAAAACTAAATAATCTTAGTATGTCCATTAACATCGTCTGTTATCATATATGCTAAAAGAAGAGACAAAACATATTGTACAGTCACTGGTGTTATATGACTGTGGTGTAACACCAGTGACTGTGACTCCAGTGACATTCTGGTTAAAACTGAGGATTTTGTAAATTGGCTGACTCATTGGTCGTCAGGTGACCTTGTGCAACTATGTAAATCAGTAATAACAATGATAAATGGCATTAAATCTGACAAAATTTTAATTACCCAGCCATTAAAGCACATAACACTGGTGACACATAGGAGTTATGTGCTGCCTGAAAACCGAAACTATGAATAAATGAATGAAATATAATGAGCGAGTGTGACTTGCCTTCTCATGCCTTGAGATGCTTCCTCTCTGATGATCCTCGACCCAAAAAAGCAGTTTAATAGAGCTGAAAATACTGTGTTAAAATGAAATATAAGAGTCCTGATAACATCAGTGACCAAAATCTCTGTGACAAATACATTTTTTAAAATAAAATACATATCTTTTAAATGTAGTATAACATTAATGATATAAAACGTAAACCTCTTAAAAATATTGTTTTAGATTATTTAATCTTAGCGCCACTGTGTAAACATACATACTGACTTTATTTTAAGCCCTTTTTAAGCCCTGCACCCTTTGTGACATGGCTTCTCACTCCAAATGGAGAATGACCCATATAGTTTTCCACTATTTAATAATGACCATGTATAGGTGCACGCCATCCCAGTGTTTAGGTGTTTCATCACAGGATCACTGAAAAAGTTCTGTTTTCTCCAGTTCCTTGGTTAAATAGCTCTAAATAACTCTCAGGATTGGTAGAAAATTCTGTTGTACCAGCGCAGCCCTACCAGCGTTATCCACCCAGAAGTAGGTTCTTTGTTGTTGTGACACAACACTAATTTGTCCTTATATAAGGAGCAGATAAGATTCAGGTGTTTTTATTCTCCACTCCATTTGTGCCCTGAAAGCCTGAGTTTTAAAGTGCCTTACCTGCCCTTACCTGACCACAAAGAATCACTCTGATATTTCATACAATGAAAAAAAAAACAATTGGATTGAGCGAAATTGTTGTTTGTCTCCACAGCTTCTCAGATTGAGGGATAATTGAGCTCCGCAGGCAAATCCACAGTCACGACTGGCGCTGATGAAATTTTGACGCAGGCACAGGATGTAAATCCAGCCTCTCTGTGGCCACATATTAATGTTTTCTAAGAATGTCTGTTTATCTGCAGTCAGCTTTAAATCAGTCTCCTTTTTCAGGACATCTGTGCGTGTGCTTAAAAAAAAAGAAAGACGCAGTTGGCAGCGGCAGCTCAGCCCGCATGATCCGTCTTCATCTGTCCAATAACAGTGTCCAGTTTGTTAAACTCTGAATGGTAATCTGCTGTAGACATGTGCCAGTGTGTAATAATAAGACATACCACAACGTACAACACATTCAGTATTGTTATAAATGCTTTGAAATACCTTCAGTGCATTTTTAGTCAAGTTGCAGTGTTAGTAGTTTTTTTTAGACATGCAGAGTAAGTCTGGTTCCAGAAGCTCTCACTACACTGCCACATTCTGATCTTATACTTTATTTGATGTTTGTACAGCTGTTTTATTGTGAATAGTTCTGAGCACCTTCACAGCTCGTGGTAAAAGTTGCAGTGCAATACTTTCATACCAGATGTTCTGTCTAGAGCAGTGTTTCCCAGCCCTGCTTCAGGAGGCACTGCGCAGTTCAGCTGTGCATTTGTGCATCTTCCTGTTGGCAGCAGTGCGGACCCATGACTTTTACCCCGATTTTAGCCCCGATTGTCAGTCTGGCCGAGTCTGTGCTGGTTGGCTCTACTCTGCAGATTGTTGGCTCAGTCAGAGTCGACAGTTGGAGAGAGAATCGAGTAGTGTGCGAGGGGTGCAGACTCAGATTTTTGGCCCCCTGATCACATTTCAGACCTGTCTGAGTTTATCAGACATGAATGGGGTAAGAACATTCTAGATTACTGTGAATGGGGAGAATGTCCTAGAGCATTGTAAATGGGGAGAACATTCTAGAGTGGCATAAATGGCATTCCAGAATGGTGTAAATGTTCTAGAAGAGTGTGAATGGAGAGAACTTTCGAGAATAATAAGAACATTCAAGAGGAACATAAATGAAGGAGAACATTCTAAAACACCACAACTGAGGGAGAACTTTCTCGAACAGTGAATCTAGTGTAAACTGATCAACGACTCAATCTGAACAGATTCCTGCAACAGCCAATGAAAACTGAGAGAGCAAAAGAAGAAAATACAGCAACTAAACAAAGAAAAATGAAGAGCTGAGCTTAAGACACTTGATCCATGAGCCTCATGTTGCTGCTTCTTTACTGTGTCAGAGCAAACAGCAGAGAAAACAGCAGCAGCATCTCCACATTTGTTTATTTGCGTCTCCTAGTAACGGGAGAACGCGAGAGTTCTCATGAGTTTGTGTGAGTTCAGTGAGTTCTGTTCAGTTCAGCAGCAGTTTCAAAGTTGAGTAGTGTGTAATCCCTAATCGTTTTTGGGTGTGATTCAGATATTTTAGTCGCCCAAAAAAA